AGATGATGTACAACATCTAACTGTTTTGCCTTATCAGCAGATAATGATTTAGAAACTATTTTAATTGCTTTAGAAAATGCTTGTTTAGATTTGTATGATTTCCTTAAAAAAAGCATATTTGATGCATTTTTTGTTATTCTCAAGTAGCTTTACTTACATTGACTGTCTACTAATATGTAGACTATTTCGAGATTTTTGTTTATATTTTCTATTAATTTCTCTGTAATTTTGTCTTGCGAAATTAACGGTTTTTTTACACGATCTTTTGCTTTCAATGCCATCTCCAAACCTTTTCTTTTCAAATTTTCACGATAGGTTTTCATCCTTTCAGCTGGACTTTTGCTCATTTTACTCTCGATAATAGCTTAAAATAAATTAGTATATCTAGAAAAAGGACAATAAGAATAATCACGTCGAAAAATTACTGAGATTTTTGATGAAAATATGAAATCAACGAAAAAATTCGAAACATATATCGTTCGACTCAGTTTTCGACGCTGACTCCGAATATGATATTTTTATTACATGAAAAGTGAGTTCTGATGGAAAAAATAGAGAATTGTAGGCAGAGTTCCGACTTTTTCCGTCCTAATTTAGAAAAAATGTATTTTCTTAGTAATAAACCAAAATTGAAAGATGCAATCCATGCCTTGTTCCCGCTGATATAATGATTCGAATGAAGATAAGAAAAAAATTATCTCTTAACCACAAAAACTAGATAGGTTTGCAACATGAACAGGGGCTCTTTTCCGGTTCCACTCGGGTTTCTCAAAATCTAACTCCATTTTAACTAAGGAAAATGTCAAGTTTAGTTTTCCATAGTCAGTTTTGCATGCCCAATCAGAAAAACATTAGGTTCAAAATCACAAAGGAATAGATATGAAAATTTTGCTTACTTCTCAGAATTTCATGTATTTATTTTTTTGCCTCTTTCTAAAAAACAATATTTTGAAAAATTTTCACCCAAAAATGACTTCAGGAAGTCAAAAATGGACTTTTTTCTACGTAACTTGACGAGCTCTATGCAACTATAGCCAAGAAAATGAAAAATATATATAAATATTCGTCGTCATATAATGAAAGGACAAGATGAGAAATATACAACTGTGATTTCCTTCTCTTTTCTTTTTTGTTTTTCTCTTTTTTGACTTGTATATCACAGACAGTTAAGTACAGCCACAGTACAAAACATATAGTGAAAATTTGAAAAGAAAAGGTTTGGATCAAGCAATGAAAGCAAAAGATCGTGTAAAAAAACGCCAATTTCGTATCAGTTTACATGGAAAAGCACGACAAAGTTACTGTTATTGCTATATTTATTCTTGTCTAGCATTTTATGAATCGGCGAGAGTTGGGTCGTGTCAGTCCGTTACGTTTTTCCCGAATAAATCAAGCTGGTCGCTAAAAAGAAAAAGTAGAGGATCGGGTAGCGCATCAAAAGTTACCTTTAGTACATACAATTCAGATTCTAAAGCATGAACACTCTTGGACCTATTTTTACTTTAATCAATATTTCGTAACGGACTGACACTACAAAAAGTCAAGTTTTGAATGATAGAATATACAAATCGTATTGTATATCAAAGATCAAACTGTGCTATGCAATTAAGCATTCCTCTTAGGCTATCCATTGGCATATTTGAATTAAAGAACAGAATAAAATTGGATTTTTACGGACACATACAAAAGTAGGTTTAGTATCCTTCCGAATTAACATATGGTGGCATCACTTCTTTTTGCTCACGAGCCTGTGTTGCGAAATGTGGATCACAGAAAAAAGATATATATTTTTATAGTTTCGAGTGTGCTCTACAAAATGGCACTATTCAAGAGTGAAACTGTGACAGTTCAAACTTGGCCGTCGGAGTGGACCATTACGTGGACAAGCCTCACAGTGTCTTTTTATGGCATGCGCTTTAGTAGTTACTGATGAATTACTGTCAGTTTTTGCGTCTTTGTCATGTGTGTACATTTTTTTTCCTGTATCTAGTAGTTGTGTGGCTCTCAGTCATTTTTGTGTGGAAGAATAAAAAAATAAGATTTAGTTAAAAAAATAAAAATTCGTTAGAAAGCTTAGGAATTAGTGTTATTGTAACGTCGATTTCATCATGAAAGGTTTGTGAAATTTCATCAACAGATGACCAGCGTATCGTTTTTGCTTCTTTCAGATGATACAAAGACATGTGTCAAAAAGGACGTTTAATCAAGTAGCATACAGCACGTTGAAATCAGAAGAAATTCTATGGCTTCAAGCAGGATAGTTTTACTGCAATCAACGGTATTTACTATGACTCCGTGTAGATCGTTTCAGATTTACATAACTTGATGCGTTGTTCCCAATATATATTGCTCAGAATTATATACATTTAGAATTTTGTAAGGTGCAGGTAATTCAAACTTCGAGTAAAAATTTTCTTTTGCCTTTTTTTACATCATTTGATAGAGCGTGAGCTGCTGATTACGAAAAAAACATATCCTTTCCAAAATATGCTTCATATCTCGCCTCGTGCTTTTTCTGAGCTTCTGATAATATCTTTTTCGGATTCAGCATCAAAAACTGAGTCTAGATAAGTTGTTAAATCGGCTCTAGACCCCGACATCTTTTCACGATGGTGCTCCCAATCACGTCGAGCGCAACAAAAACTCTGAGTTTTGAACTTTCACTACGTAGTGAATTGCTCTTACTTTAAAATTGTGTCTCAAAGGAACACTATCTGATGGTCTACAAAAGTGTTACTGAATATATTGTTTCAACTAAAAGGTTTACAATGTAAATATTTTGTCACACGTGAAACTAAGTCGAACGGCTTATTTCACGATTATTCTACTGTCAGGACACGACTTAAAGCTATTTGCGTCTTATGAATATGATGACAAATAAAGAACGTATTCGATAGGAAGATATTGCAAATGACATTTTTATATTACTTTTGAAAGCTTATTCTTTACAAGACGCACCGTTCACATTTTTCTTGCGTCTTCTGAATAAGCACTCATTGTTTTCGCTGTTACGCAGTCAAATAAATTTTTGCAGCAACATATTGTAATTACTTTCACTTCGTAGGTTTATGTTTACCCATGTGCTGAAAATCGCTTCATTTTTGTCGATTAATCGCGATGGTTGAAAAAATCGACGCTTAATCGCGATTAAGTGATAATTTTTTCGTGCATCGCGATTAATCGATGATTTTGTCAACCATCGCGATTATCATGAAAATCGTCAATTAATTGCGATTAATTGTTGATTTTAAGTGATTAAATGGTTGTTGTTATTCACCGTTTTCTTTTGCAATAAAGTATGTATATAAGAAACACGATTTCAACGAAAAATACACTTATATTTAGATCATCTTTTTATTTTAGAGTAAAACGGAGTTGTCAAGAGTGTTCTCTATTGTCTCTCAGAGTTTTAAACCGAGAAGCCCAGTGAACAGCTGGTATGTGGGCAATGTCTAAAATTGACTCGTCGGCAAGGCTCCGACTCCAGCTGGTGCTAAGACCATTGCTGGGTGACGTACATGTCATTATACATAATAAACAATGAAAAAACAGAAAAAAAAATGTATTGCCTAAGATGGGTTCGAACCTAGTACCTAGAAAAAAATCGTCAATTAATTGCGATTAATCGCTAAAATCGCCTAAAAATCACCAAAAGATCGGCAATTAATCGCGATTAAGCGCACGATTAATCGTATGATTTTTCACGATTAATTGCCGATTTTTATGCGATTTTTAGTACATGGGTAATGTCTAAAGGTTTTGGAGTCAGCGTTCCCGATTAGGGGTGGCATCGAGCGATGTTTCCCCCCTCCCAAAAAAAATTTCAGACTTTCTCCCATAATTATTGATAATACTTCTGCGAAATTTTTATAGTTCAGTTCAGTTCAGTAGAAAATTCCTGCATTTGCTGGAGAAAATCAAAGTAGATATACTTTCTGCCAAGTTTCTCCCAGAAAGCTGCTGTACTTTCTGTAAAATAATCGACTTTCTGTGAAAAATTATAGACTTTCTACCAAACTTTTAGCCCCGCTCCCCTCCCCACTCCCAAAAACAATCGGGAACCCTGTTTGGAGTATACGCTACTCCTTCTTCAGTAGCAAATTGAAAACTAATTATACAGAAAGCCTACATCTGAAACACGATAGAGATAAGCAGAAAGAAAAAGAAAAAACGATTTAAACATGAGAAAAAGGACTAGGGTCCTCCTTTGATATAGACTATACGTACAAATAATAGTTGATATGGACTCCGAAAAAAGGAAAGACTAAATTATACGCCATAGAAATAGAAATTTATTTCATTCTCTACTTTAATCTGAATACTTGAACTTTCAAACTCTAACTGAATGCGAACAGTTGAGAAAATGATGTTTTCTCTTGTTATCGTTTCTCTCTTTTCCATTTTCTTTCTGTTCTTATTGATGAAGAACATGAATATTCGTTAGATACGGCTGTCTAATACAGAAAGAAAGAATCATCTGTATACTCCTTGCGGTTCAATTCGTATAGTGTTCAATTTTATCTGTCTTCACAGTTACATTCTCTTAGAACGAAAAGCTTTCTCTCATGTCTTATTTAAGTGGGAGACATGGCCACTAACTCTAACATGTGCAATTAGATACCAGAGATTCTTGGTATCTCGCCTTCCTCCAAACGAGGTAATGGAGCTAAAACTTCATGATTATCTCACTTTCTGTCTTTTTGCTCTTTTAGCCAGTTTCTGAACAAGCTAATAAGAAAGGTTTCATAAGCAGACAACCTTCCTAGGCAGATGTTACCATATTGGTAATTTAAAAAATTGTTTCTCTTTGCTAGCACTGATAAATCAAGTGTAATGGAAAGTCATTTCGGTTTGTTAACAGATCATCATGCTACCAATCAAATTTCAAGAAAGCGAGTTTAATGTAAAAAAAAGACAATAAAATTAACAAAATGTGAAAAAAAAATCAAAGTTCTCAAAAATAACGCTTTGAGCTAATACGTGCACTACTATAGTCAACATTATGGTTGCTTCGCTGTTAGAACTGCAAGTTGATCATTCTAGAACAGGCAACATCGATATAAGTAAAAACAATATAAAGTACCAGAATCATTTATACGTACAAATTCTTTCCGTAGATTATCCATCAATTTCAATAATTCATACTCTCTCCCATCCGCCCGTTCCCTCTCATGCTTTGCTTCCTTTTCCCAATATTTTGCATTTTCTTCCGACTTCTTTGCATTTTCTTCCGACTTCTTTGCGTTCTTTTCCCAATACTGTGCTTTGCTTTCCCAATACTTTGTTTTTTCACTTTCAATCTGTAAGCCAGCTTTAAGTGATACACATCGAAGACAATTCTAAACAAACAAGAACAAAATTATAAATGGTAGAGAAACATCATTAGCACTAAATCAGACTTGTCAGCGCTAGTAACTGATTAAGGACAAAAAAGGTCACTTTCGAATACAACCTGTGTAGCGGTTACAGGAACAGCATTGATGCCAGTTAGCTTGCACATTTCGAAAAGAAAATCTATTTTAAATTATTAATTCTTTCTATTTGTAGTGAATGTGCAACTATTTTTATCTTTCACTCTCCGTTGACTTTTTCTTAAAATAATTATGGATGAAGAAAATTTAACTTTAAATAGTCGGTATGAGGCTATATATGCATGTATTATATATTTTAGTACTCTCTCTGTGTCTTGTAAAGAATCTATTGGCTTGAGTATTTTTTGTTTTCTTCTTCCTTTGCAAAAGACAGGGGTCCTTCATTTCCTACAATGACGGAAAGAAATAATTAAGTTAAGTTTTTATATATATTATCGATGTTTTGAAACCGAAAGAAAGAATGGGTGAGAAGGTCATTCGTTTTAGACGTAATAGAAAATATGAGTGTAATGTGAATAGAAATGAGAAACATAACATACATAAAACAATTAAATCGATTAATATTTATAGAAAAGTTGGACTAGTCACGGTAGTATTTTTGGGCATTTTTAATCAATATTTTCACCTCATGAAAGTCTGAATATGAATGGCTTTTAGACATGTTTGATAAGATATTTTTGATTCCTTTCGGAAACATTTCAGTAGTGGGTCGGCCATGTCACTAATGACTTCTACGTAAACTAGTTGGCTTGATCGACAATATAGGTTAGTATATGAAACTTTGAGACTTAATATTTGAAGTAGCTATGATAAATGCAATGATAAAGCTAAGAGTACGAGTTCATCAATCATTTCTGAGTTTTATTCACCAAAATCAACGTGACGCTTTCGACTACACACGTAGTCATTTTCAACACAAAATGACAGAGAGAGCGAGAAGCGTAGAGTACATTCCTTCTCTTTTAGTCTTATCTTCTACTCAATCCATTCATTTGATAATTTCAGTTGAATATAATTAGTTCGTGACTAGTCTGATTGTATGGATTTTTTGATGTCTCATTGTGAATATAGTCTCTTTGATTTTCTTCTTAACTTTCCACTTTCTCTTCCGAGTATTTCTGATTGATCGAAATTTATAGCATGATTTTTGTTGTATTGAATGTGATCGGGTGCACTAGATGTTCCTTCCTCTCCTAGTCCTTGCTTGTGTTCACTCATACGTTCATTTTTCTCTTTGTCATTTTGTGTTGAAAATGATTATACATGTAGTCGAAAGCTTCACGTTTATGTTTGTTAATAAAACTCAAAAATGATTGATGAACTCGTATTCTTAGCTTTATCATTGTTTAATTTCATCTAATCAAAAAATGTATGATAAATGCAGTCAAGTCAAAGAAATATTGTATTAAGGATCAAAAGTATTCAAAACTACATAAAGTTTGATAGAAGTTGTGAAGAGATTAGGTAGATCTGACTTGTGGGTCATCAATCGAGTTGTATCGGCTTTTGAACCATTTATGCTTGAATCAACTACAGTCACCATTTGTACATGAATTAAGCCGTTCATCGATTACTTGGAGTATTAATGTATTGCAAGGAGCGATCGCCTTAAAGATCCAATCTTATATATAATTTGTGTAAATTTTCTACAGTATGTCTATAGGAATCTATAAGACTCTTATAGAAATCTTGCAAAAATTATATATGACAGAGGCCCTAAATGTGTATGTGATGCTAGAATTCATAAAGAGTGCAATATAAGAAACTTATAAGATCTTTGTAAGAATTTTATTGGTTTCTTTCACCAGATTATCGGGAGCCGTTTTCTGTAAATGCGTATATAAATTTTATAAGATTTGAATAAGAGAGCCGGTAGATGCTGATATTCGCAGAGCTACCACCACCCATTACTAATTTTAAATATACATCCTTCATGGTGCATCATGTTTTACTCGGTCTTTTCTTCGAGAACATGATGCACTTAGAGCCCTTAAGATCATACTTTCCTGTTTCGATTCTGGAAAATTGTTCAACAAGTTAGGGTGGTGCCGGTAGAAAATGAGTTTTATCTAATGTAAAAGCAAAAATAAGGAGAGGTAGTAGAAGTATAAGTAGATTAATGATCCACTCTTGACTCGAATCTATGGATTTAAACGTTGAAAAGAAGCTCAAAGGAATAATGAAATGACGAAATTTTTGTCTCAGAGTATTAGGACAGATGTAGTGCGACGGTTTTGAGGAAATAAATAAGTTTTGAAACTAAAATAAACAACAGAATACATAGTGACGCGAAGATTTGAAAACTTGAGACGTAACCAGATCAAACTTTGAGCTAAACTTTAGAAATTTTTGTTGATGAGAAACATTATTATTTTATGAAGACATCTTCAGGTAAAAATCGAAATCTGCAGTGGCTTCTTCGTTATAGGAATGCATCACGGCACTCAATCATATCACACATGGTCTTTTGAGTGCACGTGTGCAAACTCATTCTACATTTCTGTATGTATAAATCTAGGACATTTAAGTTTGGTATACCGTATCAGAAATTTGATTTCCATTAAGTGACACAGATGGTTGTTGAGTTGTTGCTGTTATCGATGTTTGTTGTGCTAATGGTATCTGGTTATGGTCGAGGCTGTGCACTTCTTGATGTGGATGGTTTGAACATTTTTCACACAACGCTAAAGTATTATCGCGGCCCCTATGATGATGTATTTCATATGGTTTGAAACATTTATTACACTGATAAGACGATTTCGTTAACTCATAAATAATGCGCATGGTGCTAAACTTTGCCCTGCGAAGATTTCCGAATTCTAAATAATGTTGAGATGAAAATTCCAAGAACATTTCTCTGCTGGAAAAGAGCTGATAATTAATATTTTCGTTCTCATTGTCAATTGTTGATGGAGTATCAACTGTATCGTTGAAATAAATAAATAAAAATTGCTAGAACGAAAGAGAGACTCAGTAGTGATGATCTTAAAAATTAGCTTTGCAATTTTTTTCTTTACATGCATGTTTTGATTCACAACTTAAAATTTTTCTAGGAAATCCTTATCAAGGAGGTGCTACTAGGACTAGTACTTTACTTTTCTTACCTAAAGAAAACTGGCTACTTTATTTTACTAAAGTAAAAAGTAAAAGTAAAATTTTATTGACTTTTGAGAAAGTAAAAGACAACAATTAAATTCACTTTTACAGTGTAAAAGTAACTAACTAACCTGTTTTATTTTACTTTCAATAGTAAAAGTAAATTTTTTTGGAATGAGGATGAACTAATGTTCACATAAATAGAAATTACAGACTAATACTAATTTATTTAAAGGTTGATACTATCGTTTCACCATCAAAAATAAGTCAAGTTTTGTATTTTACTTTTTAAAAGTAAGTTAACTTTACTCTTTTCTTTGGTAAAGTAAAACTTTTCACTTACTTTACCCAGCAGTAAGTAAAAAAAGTAAAGGTATCACACCTACTGTTCTTAAGTCAAAGCATATTTTCTCTCTTGCTGCTTGGTTCTAGAATCATGTATACGCCCCTCTCGCCAATTGATAAGTTTCTTATTGATAGCACAAACTTTTACTCTACCTTGACATGCGGAATTAATCGTGTTAGACGAGATCCAATTACTTGTCGTATCATTCTAACTATAGCAAAACTTACTGATTTACATACCTGTTTATTAGCTCGAAACATCTTTACTAACTGCGTCGATAGTGCATGGATCATCTCTTCCTTGGTTATTAACGGCTTTTCTTCTTTTATGTTTGCTAAATAGTAAAAATGAATTGCATTTCATTTCGAGAAAAGGAAGAACTTTTATTTTTTACTTAATATTTCTTCAATGGTGTCAGGCCAATGGTCACCGTCCATATAAGGTAATTTGTAAATTTCATCACCAATTTTATAATCACTAAGTATCTCTTCTTCAATATTCTGATCATAAAATTAAAAGTAAAATCAATGTAAGATACCCAAAAATATTTACTAATTAAGTTTTATAGAGAAGTTCAATCGATTAGAACTCTAAAACTTCGCGTCTATTGGACAATAACCTCAGGCTTTGTGAACTACTGAACGATGTAGCTGGATATAACCTGTGTTAGATTAGTTACAGCATATTACATTTATCTATAGTAATATTATATAATTTACAAAAGGTAGACTTACTTGAACTTTTTTAAGTACACCTGCTCTCTTTCCATAATCTAACAATGTGTCATACCACTTTTCTAATTGAGTTTGTGTCGGAATATGCTGTTCTTTTGGATGGTTGTAAAAAATATAATCAATTCCTCTCTGTGGTGCATTTATCCATATGTAAGCATGTTCATAACCTAATCCTTTCATATATTCTAGATAACCAATTATAAGTTCAAAATAAATGTTTCGTCGATGGTTGGGCGGTTCAAAAAATTTTACTGAATCCAAATATGCTATCATCACTCGACTGAAACGTTTAATCAAAGCATTATGTATTATCAGCTCTAGATGAATATTTCGTCATTAATAGAATTCATTTACGAGTTAATCTTTTTCTTAAACTACAATAGTATTAGATCTCATGTTTATTGTCGAACTTCATGCAAAAAGGCGTTTTAAAAACTTGATTATGCTTATTGATATAAATTCCATAGATAATAAATCACAATATTACAAAGCTCACTATAGATTTCGTTTTCATTTACAACTAACTAATCAGATTTATATAGGACTTCGTTTTATTAAAATTGTGAACAATTGAATAAATTATTTCTGATTTCATCAGTTTTATTATTATAAACGAAAAGTAGAATTTTTCTGAGAAGAAAACAACTCTGAATGGAGCGCTACTGATTTCGTTCAGGAATACTACAGAAACAAAATGTCAAAATTATCTTTGTGTTTTAAAACTCTATCGTTCTTACATTGATACTATCGACAACTATACGTTATTAACTGTAGTACATATGTGTAAAAAATAGTCTAAATAAGAATTGTCAAAGGCCTTTACCTTCTGTTAGCACCGACACATTTATCATCATATTCTTGCGCATAACATGCGAATAGCGCAACATCAGCATTATCGTTCTTTTGAAATAACAGGAACATACGCCTTCTGTATCGACAAGAATCAGGAAGGAAAGTTCCATAGAGTTGTTTGATTTGTTTCTGGACATTAAATTCACAATATACTGACTGCACCACTTTAATATATAAATTACGACAAAGTTCACTATCGGTATCTGATAATGTTTGCTTGGCAAGATATTGCATAATTCGTTGTTCTAAATAAACCTCCAACTTTGTTGTTTTTAGTTTATCAGCAAGATGAAGCATTTGTGGATTATGACGTGAATCATCAGGTGAGCAATCAAGACACTGGTAACCGTTTTGCCAGTAATCATTAATAAACATTATACATGCATCTAAAAATTTTACATCCAAAGCGGCTAATGATATAAGATAAAATGTGATCGGGTGCTTTCGCGCAGGTTCGCCCACCTTTTATGTTGACCGACATCTGGCAAGATTTAAGTATTCTAGTTTTGTAGTCAGTGTCGATTTGTGTAAGAATGCATATTTAATTTTGATTAAAATTATGCGTCAACGGCGCCAGAGAGGGCAACAAATGCGTTTTTATCGAAAACTCCTACCGGGATATCTATTTTATTTTCTCTGAATATTTTTTTGAAATGTCTGAGTTGGTCATTCGATAGAGCTTTAAAAGTTGTCTATGTCAACAATCATAGATTGAGAATAATATTCAATTTAGGTGAATTTCTTGAATCCTATGGAAATCTGCCCTTTTTTTAAAAGGATTATATACAGTCACAAACAACAACAAGCTAAACAATCCTGGCGTCGTCAATAATTCCGATCAAAATTGAATATGCATTCTTACACAATTCGACACGGATTATAAAAGTCAAATCTTGCCAGCTTTTAACCGATGTAAATTTGGGAAGAGCTGCTTGGAAGCACCGAATTTAAAAGAAAGTAATGCAAAGCAAACTCACCGTGGAATAATTTTTTGCATTGAATACATTGCACCTCCATCACATATTCCGTGGAATCGTTCTTAAATTTTTTCAAATCCGATTTGATTACGGAAACATTAAACATTAATTCAAATTTATCTGTGCTATGTTGTTTTGTATTATAACAGCTTCGACAAATTGTAACTTTTAAATCTAATTCTTTACTTTCACATGAATAATAGACTACTAAACGGGTAATTTGTTTCCTGCATGTCGGATTCCAGCAGAACATTTTCGATGGAGTATATTTTATGAAATCTTCGCCACAGCAACTAAATCTACCCATGTTATCTGAATACAGTAAAACGAAATTGCTTACATGTAGTGCTCCTTCGTTTAGATATGTACAAAGAAGTCGTTCTAACATCTCCAAGAATAACTTAGTAAACTATTAAATTGACTAAAGCTTAATCGACAAATACTCTGATTTCATTTCAGAAGCTAGGTATTTTAGACTTTTTCACTGTATTTTAATCATACTTCGCGAATAAAACAAGCAAAGTAAGAAAGTATAGTTGATCGAAAAATACTCGCATGTAATCAGTTAGCATCCATTAACCCTAACTTGTTTCTGAGAATCTTTTTATCTTTTGATAAAAAACAGTCTGTTATGCTTAAATGTTAAATACTACCTTTTACCAGTCAAAATAGTACTAGAAATACGAGGAAGATCTTGGGGGTTTACAAGTAGAAAAACTCATCTCCATTAGCATGAGGGAGAGAGAATGACGAAGTAATTGGTGAGGGTTGTATACTACACTTACGGTTTATGAAAAGCAGTAGAACAGACTAAATTAAGTGGATCAAACAGTAGTTTCTAATAACTTAGAATAGAAGACACATAAAATAGCGAACATGTACTCACCACAAATAATAATACACAGTAAAATAAGAAATCCAACAAATTCAGCTGAATATGAATAACAGATTTCAGAAGACCTGCACAAAACTAAATTCATAAATATGCGTGAGAAAGATATAGTAATACACTTACTTAAAAACCAAGAGTCAATCCAACAAGAATGATTCGAATGAAAAATAGACAGTGAAGTGTGTACTATACATATAAACCACCATCAAGCACATATTTTTTAATTGTCTTATCAAATCTGATACTTACAAAAAAAGACCCAGTAAATGAATAGAAAAAAAAATGTTAAATATTCTAAATGAGAGAAACAATTTTAGATCTTGTCTGACTATAATGAAAGATACTCACACAATCCGATTAAACGAATGGAACAAACAAGCAGCAAGGAATAAATAAATGAAACCAACCTGAAAATATATTCACCGAATGATAATGATTGAATTTAAATTTTTAATTGAGTTTACTTACAAAAATATAATAAAAAACAATGAAAAATTGAATAAGTATATACCTAAGGATAAGAAAACACAACAATGTCGTCATTATCTCATATGTAACTGTTAAATGTGGATACGTACAAGATTACGTAGACACAGGAATACAACGGATAATGTGTTAAATAGCAAAATCTGAAAGTGCATTTAATTAAAGATTTATAGCACATAACATAGAAAGTAATATTGTGCACTGACTTTCAACCTAAAACTCATTATCTTTAACTCAATTTGCAAAGAATTTTGTGTTGGCTCGGTTAGCATAAGCACAGTCTGATAGAAAGTCAAAATATTTTATTTAAAAATGTCCTAATAATTCAACAAAAAGAAAGATAAAAGTAGCTATTAGTCTTTCAATTCATTAATAATTCTTCTACTTTGCCAAATACAAGTTAAAGGAGAGAAATGCCATCTATTAAATATCATTCTTGCGAATTATAATCCAATGCAGATAAAAATGTTGCATGTATGTTTGATTACATCACGCAACGGCAAACCTACTCAAGTCAAAATGCAGAACATAAAAAAAATTACATGACAGCATTCAGCTGCGGTTTATGCTACATCAATGGAACATTATTTCATTTTACAAAACCGATGAAATACAATTGCTTAAGAAAGCTATGTGATTTAATCAAATGAAAATTTATATTCTATTCTCTCATATCCATATTGTCTGTTAAGAAATTCGAAAAGTGAAACGTCAGCCACCTATCAGAGTTTATCCATATGCCGAAAACATACATTTTGCGCACCAACATCACTCATGACAAAATCTGGAATTGGTCCTTCTAATGGAGACACGAAAGATCACTTAGGTGACGGATCATGTTTAACACTATATTCTTCTCTCTAAACTAGGAACATGAAACTGACCTAAACGCATCAATGAACAAATTGCTTGACTGACCCACACGCAACCATAGTACATAATAGATTTTTCAATAAAAACAAGTTCGACAGCATTCTCTGGAACCTTATCTTGAAAGACACGGCTAATTCAAAATTTCAGTGGAAATTTTTTGTTGTTTTTGGTAATTAAATCAGACTCATTAGGTTACAATTTTGCAATTAGCTAAAAGGAGTGAAATTTTTAAAAATGAGCAAAGTTCAGAACAGTCAAGTCAGCTTTACCATTTTTCTAAAATTCCAAAGCTATTTTTTTCTTGATCAACACGAAAAATAGACTATAGAAGACTGAATTTAATCAAATTAAAATGCAAAATGAGTAAGAAATCAGTAAAGATACGAACAGAACCGTTGAATGTTCACTGTCTGTTTTGCAAACCTATCTTCTTTTGCTGAAGATTAATGTGGAGTTGATTAATGCTTGTCTCAAAACGTTTGAATAATTTTCATTGTAAGGTAATTTTTTGATGGAAACGGTCATCGGGTTACTCGTTCTCATAACCCAGGCGCCTCCGCTCTCCCCCAATTATCATCCATACATTCATGTTCACCATGTGACACAGGTCAATTCATTCATGAATGATAAACCTTTCACATTTTTTTGAACGGTTTTGATTCGTCACTTAACAATATAATTATGATCACTCTGGATTAGAAAAGAATACAAAAGGAATTTGACTTTTTTTTCTTCTTCTCTTGATCCATGCAAAATTTTGAAAATTAACTGTAAAATAGAGACAAGGAAAAAGGAACGTTGGGAGCGATCGAGAAAATTTTGGAAGTTTCTTTTATATTCGTTTTTATGCATTATGTGCACATGTATTAAGGGTACCCCCCTTCCTCTTTTTAAACTCTCTTGGAAACCGTGGAAGTCGGTGTGCCGATCGGACTGAAATTTATACCAGAGATAGAAGATCGAAAAAGAAAATCAATGTGTTTTTGCTCAGAATTTTCTGACATGTTCTTCTATGGGTTTTCTGGAAAACTCCAGTTTTCATTCAGTCACATTACGACCCCTAGAAAAAATTGGTCGGATTGAGCTGAAATTTCTACCACAGATACTTCAGCCCCTACCTCAGGTTCTAATTTTTTGTTTTCGAAAAATATGCTTCCTTCGCGAGATATTCAAAAAATACTAAAACTCTTGTATAAAAAACCATTTTTTTATTTTAAAAATCTTCTCACACCGAAAGTTCAAGTCAAAAACGCTTAAAAACAAATTAAAACCTGAGATAGAATCTGAAGTATCTGTCGTAAAAATTGCAGCTCGATCGGACCATTTTTTCGAGGGGTCGTAATGTGACTGGATTGAAGGAGCTATTAAAAAAATTCATACAGAGAAAAACGTATGTTTGTACGTAACACACTTTTTTCAGGGCATTTGTCGCTATGCTTATGCTTCTGCGGAAGTTCATCGGAAAGTTCTTGAGACGTCTCATTTTGAAGAGAAGGCTTTCTTCTATCCGACTATGTGGAAGAGAAACTTTCGAATACATCGGAAAGAAAAGAAAAGTTTATGAAACTGAAAATTTGTGTTTTTTGAGGCTTTAAAGAAAACTTTTAAAAATCCATAGCTTTTTAAAGGAAAGATGCAGAGTGCAGAGAGTGGTCTCATTTTGTAGCAAGAGCTTTCTTCCACCTTACCATATGTTTAATTTATAATCAAAAATTTTTTCTCAAAAAGAGGGAGGTATCCTTATATGTCCAGTTGTTCCGTGCTCATTTTCATCAGAAAAAAGAATGAATATATTGATTTGCTGTTTATACTACATTTAACAATCCATTGCAAAATTTTCTTCTTGTTAAAATTCCATCTTTCTCAGACATTAATTAATTCCCACTTAATTCTAATGGAATTTTTTCCGACAAAATAATTGCAATAAGTATATATTCGTACCAATATTCTTGTGTAATGATACTGGTTCGAAAACAAAAAAATGAAAGAAGTAAGAAAATTCATTAATGTTCCGAATCGACGTACTTGACGGTCGGCCGGTTTTGCACTCATCTTTTTGTTTGCTCAATTTACATTAATTGTCTATATAGATTTATTTATGAATATAAATCATATTAACATCTAGGATTTTTTCGACTCAACTAGATGTTGCCAACCGAGAGCAGATGTAGTACGGTTAAAGAAAGGTAAAGGCATAATATATTTTTCTCGCATAGATAGCCTTTCTTACAATTAGGCTCTTCCCCTTTGAACAATCTTGTATCAGAAACTATCGCCGAAACCTTGAGTAGCTCAGACGTCCTTGATTGGCAGCACGTCTGCTTTTTTCATGTTACTTTACCACACAAGTTACTCTTCTATTTTTCTTCCCAGAGCAGACAATGGAGCCGTCGCTCACGGACGGCATGACTTGAGTGGAAAAAATCATCACACGAACATATATGAAACGGTAACCTTGGCAATAATTCTTTGGAAATTCCTCATCTGTCCCTCATCTGTCATCATTTAGATAGTTGAAATTTCATCGGCAATTCTTTCTCGAATACGTTTTCGTGGATTCACAGTGTTAGCTTCAGGAAAAAGTATACGATTTTTTGTCCATATTAAATAATTCTAAAGCTTCAATGAAACTGCCGTTTTTTGGATATACTTGAAATAAAGCTATCTTTTCAAACAAACCAATTTAAGGTGGGGACACGGTGTGCATTTTTTCCGAATGGCAGGCAGGCATGTGACTTTCTTGCTAGAAAATCGGTTTCTTTTGCTCAGAAGTGATGGCACCTTTGCCCACATTTTTGTTATGGATCACTCGACGCAGTTTGATGTACTGATTCCGAAAATCACTTTGGTTTCCTCTAAAAATGTTCCTAGATTGAGAAATCTTAATGAATACACGTATACTACATTTCAAATAAATGTAATTTACGTAAGTGTTAAGTAAATTTAAAGTTCAACATTTTGTATCTGTACTTTATTTTAGAACTTTTCCACTAAAATGAAAAATGTGCGCCGCTTAGGATATGAAGAGGTCTATCCTGATCAACATTACCAGCGAA